AAAGTGTATCAACTTTTTGGGTCGTAGCTCGACGGTAGAGCACTCGGACCTCCGAACCGTTACAGATTGGACTCTTGGACTATTGGAGTGGTGATGAGTGGGAAAGTTTTCACAGCCGCTGTACATCCTACGCTCAACTCTGGTGAGGAGGAACCCATTGGTGAAAATGAGTAGGCCCACTACATGAAGGGCGAAGAACCACAGAATGACAGAAGCAGCGGCACTGTCTGGCTTCTTCAGTTTCTTCCCCCATTCCCCCTTCCATTTCCTTTTGCCTCTTTTTCCCGAATCTCACTTGAATCCAGCGAAACGAAGCTCATGTCTAGATGTCTTGCTGTTTTAGGTGACATCTGATCAGACATTCATTCCCTCACGAAGCAACATCTCGAACAGTGTTTCCACTGGGGGCCCGCCACCAGCCATTATCGCCCGTAATGGCCAATATCGTCCCCCAATAGGAGGGGCTTGGGGGCCCAACGGGCCCCCATTGAATGCCCGAGACCAGGGGGCCCGTCGGGCCCCCAAAGGGGTTCGTTGAGGGGCCCGTTGGCCCCCATACTTCAATGTGAGGGGGCCCAAGTTTGCAAATTTATCTAATCATATGTACAAAATTATACACATTATACGGCATTCCTTCATTCCTTGTTGTAAAAAGAGCAGATATATGAACATATATTGCTTCAAATCACCAACTCGGGGGGGTGCTGCGTGGGAACTGGGAAGCGAGATGGGCTTTGAGCCCCCTGGTTACGGTGAAATATTGTCTATTTCCCCTGGGGCTTTTATGGGGGGCAGTTTCAGGTGGATCGATTTCGGGCCTCCGATCAGGGGTGCGAGGGGGCCCTTGGGCCCCCGTTGGAAAGGCTGAGGGGGCCCACCGGGCCCCCGAAGAGCGGGCCCAGGGGGCCCTGGGGCCGCCAATTGAAAAAGTTAGGGGAAACACTGATCTCGAACACTCAAGCCATAGGGTACAAGCAGCTATTGAATCCGAGGCTGACAGCCTGCCGCTGAAAAGAGCTGTCGAGACTCGAGATCCCTCGTGAGAATCTGAGGTGGTGGCACTACTACTAGTTAGTAGTACTGCCAGCGCCAAGCGCCTTTTCCGATTTTCCCCTGCTTCATCGTGCACTCACCGACGTACTAGTGTCAGAGTCACCCTGTCACGCAATAAGAATGGCAGCGACCACTGTGGCTCTATCAGCTGTCTATGGTCGCTGCGATTTGCTGTCAAAGGTTCGTGACATATCCCGGCTAATGACACGCAACTCGCAAACTGCCGCCGAACATGGTGACCTTCGGCACTTGCCCGCAGGCTTCACCCTTGAGCCTGAGGAGCTTTTAAATAGTTTTAAAGTATTTTAAAGTTTCAATATTTGAGCACAGCTTGAGCTTCACAAATGACACAGGCGTGCGCGCTGCGGCTGAGTACCTGCTTCATGCAAGATGTGCAAGTCCTCCTCTGTTGCACGAGCTTGTAGATCAATCTACCTTGCAAGCCACAGCTTTTGAATTCTAGTGTTTCCTTGTGGCTCCTGGGTCCACTGGTGCACCAAAGGTGGTGCACTTTTCTAGTCCTAATATTAGCAGCAACTTCAGCGACACAAGCGATAAGAAGCATGTCTCTTGCAGCGAAGGTGAAGCCGCTGCCTGTCGTTGCTGGGGTAGCGTTTGAGCGAAAGGAGGGTTCACCTGGGGTGCAGAAGGTGCCTTGCGTCCGACGCGTAAGGGAGGAGTTTGGTTTTCTTTATGGGGCGCATTTGCTGCAAAATTGATGGGTGTAGCTGCTGTAGTGGCAGCGCTTCTGAGAACGCTGATGAGTTTGGTAGAGAAACCCTTTGCTGCAATGATTGATCACTTACATCTGAAAGTCAGGCATGCATGGACTGGGGACTATAATAGGTGCAGCACATGTAAACAGTACAGTCCTTATTAAAAGATCAGTGTCAGCAAAAATAAGTTTCAGCCCTGGCTGCAAGATGGTGCAGTAATCCGGTGTCTTAATTGGGGGTGAATTTTAGCAGATAGAGTCTGCTCAAATCTGAATCAGGGTTGAAATTGCAAAATTTCAACTGACGGAAAAGAGATATGGACCTTCAAAAACTCCCTATAACACAACAATTCGGATGCAGGCGCTTGGAAAATGCTCTTTATCAAGCATTGCTGCCAGCAGCCAAAGCTGTTACAGTGTGCGTCTGGGCAACCAATCGGGCTTTACCTCATTGCTCGCAGAAAAGCATCCCTTATCTGGCCGCGACAGCGTCAAAACCTTTCAAAACAAGGTTGAAGCACAAGATGCAAGCAAAAACTCCAAGGAGCCCTCTTAAAGTAAGTCAGAACATTCGCGTGTTCAAAATGTTTTGCGAAAGTTGTTTCAAGACCTGTTTGAAAAGTTAAAGAGCTTTTTTGCACCTTTTACTTTGAGAGCCTGCCTGAGATGGGTCTCGCTATCGCAATGGTCACAACGTACTCCGCTCTCTTCCCTCTTGACTCGCTATCTGCTGAGGATTAAGTATCCAACAAGAAAGACAACTGAAAGTCCACTGCTAGCGGTATTGTCGAGCATACTTTGAACAGTATCCTGGCATTGTCCCTTGCTCAGGCGCCTGGGAAGGCAGTACGCCTCTCGACAAACAGCTACACGAAAGCGCAATCAGAGGAGCAACCTTTATGGGATAATCCGCTGGATACTTATGGACCACTGATCTGGGTAGTCGACCTCCTAGTGGTGATTTGGTTGTGGTCAATCCTAGTCTCTAAGTAGGGCTGTTTTACCATTAAAGCGTGGTTTTGACCTGATCAGGGTAATGTGGAGCCCTTTGGTGTGGTCTAGTCTCCCCTACTAGTAAATCTAACGTCTGCTCTGTTCTAGTTGTGAGTACGAAGCTGGAGTGTACATCTTCTTACGGGGGCCTGTGCTCAGAAGAGGCATGGGGCGTGTTAAGTGCGTAAACTGTTAGTGGCCAGACTGTCAGTGGTTGTAGTGGAAGGTTATTGTTTGGTTATGGTTTTGGCCGATAATGCCCTTCATCAAAGAATGCAGTTCAATCTGGCCACATCGTTCAACATTAATTAATGCACCTTCTTTCTGCACTTGTGCTCAATCTGACATGGTTACGTGTCCAATGATGCAAACCCGACAATATGCATGGTTGTTGTTTGACATCCAACCAAAATCTTACAATATGCCAGCTTTTGTGGACTTTGTGAAAGTCATGCATTTTATTTAGTGAGTCTTTCCGGGTCAGCACGGCATCACAAACCTGCCCCCCCTTGGGCCCTGTGTGGGTTCCAAGGGAGATCCATGTGCGACTCAGTGAGACTCCCGTATGGAGTCCAATGTACCGGTCCACGCGTGGCGCCCACGTGGTTGCCGTATGGAGTCCGAATGTGTGCAGGTTTAATTCATATGGGTTCCGAACCTTGGACTCGATACGGGACCCGGTTGTAAGTGGGGCCGATGCAAGATCCATATGAAAAGACGCGCTGGATTCCGTATGAAAGTGACAACGATTGCCATGTGGAATCCATCATGGGCGTCGCATGGAGACCGTTTGGATTCCATACGGATGTGCCAGGTGCACAGAAATAATATTATGACCACATAGTGCTTGATTATCCATGTACGTGCCCAATTCACAATCAACCATGCTTGCATCATGCGGAATCTTCTCAAGAACTCCATAGATAGCAACAAGCAATTGTAATACAACGTACAACGTTCGTATTTGAGACGGTACGGTCAAGAGCCATGAAAAACTTGGCAACTAAGACTGATTCATCGGGAGTGGGAGTGATCAACGGCAAGTTGACAGCAACACGGTCGGGCGGCAGTGCGGCCGAGCTTCAACACGTGACCTGCGAGACAAGTAAGGGCTGTCAGCGAACGACTTCATCAGCGCGAGGACGTTGAGCAAGTCGAATCACCAAACACTCTCATCAAGGAAAGTGTTCGGATTGATTCTGTCGAGGCGAATGCAGATTGAGGGCAAATTGGCAGTTTCAAAAAGGACTTCAGATCTCTTGCAAAGCCGAATCGAAGCGAGTTGTTTGGTGATGCGCTTTCTCGTTCGACAAGATTTGTATAGGATGGATTAGGCTTGTCGAACTCGACTCTTTCTCACTTCAAACGCGATTTTCGCAAGACTACCCAGCAACCTAGAAGAAAAGCTGAACGAATTGATCGAGCCCTAGCCAGCGTGGGCGTGCCATAGCCCAAGTTGAACAGAGTAACGAAGCCTCTTGGCTCTGAACAGATGTTATGACCATTGTAAGAAGCAAACAGCCAGGCTCGGACGGACTCATGGAACCAGAAAGTGATGTCAGCAAACGAGCGGCGCCTACCTGGGGTTCAGACACCAGGTCAAACGAAATCTCCTGGTGGCAGCGTGACGGAATTGACCAGCGTGTTGGACTGGCAACGCTTGGACTCAATGCTCGAGAGCGTGCCCCGAGTAATGAACAGCATGTGGAACGCTGAGCCACAACAAGAGCGACACGTGGCATCAGTCGAGCTACTTGAAAGGGCGACTAGATCAGAGCTAGCGCAAACTACGCCTTTAAGGGACGTGCCCGTGGAACACATTTCGACGAACGCCGCAATACTGTAGAGCGCAATTGCAGACGAAGCTGGAGAAACCGCAAAAAAGACCAGCTCCCACTCAAAACGATCAAGCGTCAATCATACGAGTCACAATCTCAATATGCTTAGCGCCCTGCACAGCATTCTCCGACATCAAAAAACTTCGACGATTCTACTTGTTTCTACGGTGCTATCGTTGCGTCCATTTCACTACGAGTATGTCTAGCAATGAGATGGGACCAACAATGGGGGAACCGTTAGGGTCTTTCGGGTCTGCAATCAGCCGGCCATGCAATAAATACCCCTTTTGAAGACTGAAAAATTAGGCAGGACAGAGAATCAAGAGCAAAAGTGAGGTTGCGAACAACATCAAACACAACTTCTTCCCCTCTTTGCTGACGTCAGGTCAAATCAGGGCCAATGGTGAATCGTACCTGGGCCGCCCTGCCGAACGATGCAGCTACCGGGATGAACAGCTGCAATTTCGAACGCTCGTTGATGGCGTCCAACACCAGGTAGTCCAGCCTCTCGAACCGGAATCCTGAGCAGGAGTTAAGAGGCAGTTATAAGTGCTCCGCGGATCAGTGGTTTTTGTATGCAGACAGTCGTGAGGGTTTCAACCCGTCGAAATTACGGACTAAAATCGATGTTGCAAGACACAGCCTTCCAGCACACAACATGAGATCAACAGAAGGCTACTCGGAAATCGAGTCGATTAGATAAGCGCATGGGCCAGAAACAATTAGAATAACTCCCCCAGACGAGACTGCCTCACGTGCATCGGTGTCACGGCCGTCCCAGCAATGTTGACGAGCGGCGCGACCCTGACCCGACGTGGAAGCAACCGTGCGATTGCCAGGAAGACGCAAACCAACTCTGACCGACTGCAAAGACAGTATCATAAGGTTTATTTTGCACTGAGGCAGCAGAATGGGGGCTTGTCAGTCAATCCTTCTGTCTACAGTATCGGTCAAAAGACGAAGTTTGAATGGTAGTTTGATCTCAGTGCACAGATCCTTAACGTCATGCTCGCCTCAGGGAAGGCGCCAAGAGTGACATCACCAGTCTGGAAGTAACCAACGACTCGAATTTTCAGCGGGATTGAGTTACAACAGCGAATCAAAAAAAGACAATCCAGGTGTCCGCTTCAAGAGTTTTACAAAGGAACAAATTCCATTGCATACATAGTCAGCGCTCTCAAGGACCCAAGGACACGGGTACGACAGAGCAAATAAGAGCAGACTCGTAAGCAGCCAGCGATAAGACCAAAACCAATCACAGAGGTGCACGATAAATACCTCTCACGGATCGAGATGGTGACTTACGAGCATTCCACTCGTTGGAGCACACGGCCAGATGCGGTCCCACACTCGGTACCAGCTTAGAGAGGTCGTCACTCGCAAGCGCCTCCCAGTCACCGTACGTCCGCTGTTCCGCCCACAGCGGCTGAGGATACAGATTGGATGACAAACGGTCTCAAACATGGTCGGAGCCGTTTTTTGGCGAGTTGTCCTTCTGAATGTTGATAAATTGACCTCGCGACCAATTTGTCCAGGATCTAATCGCGCGCACAGTCTTAAAACTTGGCACAAGAGGCTGAGTACCGACTCAACAACGGCCATCAGACCACATCAAACAAGAAACCCACGATTCCAGAGGATTGCGGCAGCTTGTCCTGAGGGCCTTCTTTCAATGGATGCATCTTGATCAGGCTATTTACCCTATAGAGGGACGTTCGACAAGCTTTCAATGAGAACCGGAAATCGCGGACGTTACGTCCTGCAATAATTTGTCACCTGCGCTTTCTGGTGTCGCAGCGTGCGCCGCAGCTCTACGCGCTCTTTCTCTGCTGCCGCGTCGCTCATGTCCCTGGTCTGCCACGTGTCCCGCACCAACTGCAGCTCGTCGCTCAGCACCTTGAGCACACACTCGAGCTCCGCGAGCGTTGCCTGCAGCGCGTCCGCACTCTAAGCTCGTTTTTTCCTCAGGGATTCAAGCATGATCCAGAGCATTGTGAAACCACAACGCAATTGGTCCGATGAAAACGCAGCCCTGAACAGACAGGAAGGTTGTCGAGAAACAGAGGCAGACCTAAGGAGCGTGCGAATCAGGTTCAGAAGTAAGACAAGAAGGACAACGTCGAACGGAACCGCCTTACATGCATTCGTGCTACTGCTGGAACGACCGTGCTGATGAGCGGCTCGGCCTTGACCCACGACGTAGAAGCGTCCCTCACGAAGCCCTCTCTTGCGTCGTGCAACACGCTGCAAAACGAACCTTATCAGCTCCGATTCAGAGCAGAGAAGCAGAACGTGAGCATATCGATCATGTCATCCCACCCTTTCGGTCAGAGAGAGGGCTTCCATTGGTGAACTTGACCCCCGTGCACAGATCCAAGTTGACGTCCTTCGTCCAAACAAACTATGAAAGCGTGACGTCAGCAGTCTGGAGACGTAGAGCGACTCGGTTTGAACTCGGTTGGAGCAAGCTAACGATTGGAGACAACCAAGATGAGAAGTCCAGGTCATTAAAGAAGAGGCTTTAATGCACCATCTAATAAGCGCTTTTAAGACCCAGGGATTGACTTCTGGCTATGACACGCCAGGTAACTCATGACCACTGCAAGATGGGTCAGACACATTGACAAGCCCCAAAACTGGAAGAAAAGGAAGTTAGTCGATCACGTTTGGGAGTGGCTGCCTTACCGAGTCATTACCTAGCATGCAGACGGCCGCGGCCTCAGATCTCGTCAATCTGACGTCAGCACCCAGGACCGTCCGCGTGCGCTGCATCCGGTAACGTCCAGATCTGACGGAGGAGGAGGAATGATGACTTCAGCAAAGTCGCACACGTTCGACAACCGCACCAAGTCAGTCTTCAATGACAATTTCATATTTGAGACCATGGGCGCGAATCTAAGCCCAGTAGTGGTAACGAATCGAATGCCAAGGAGAGGCCCCTGAAGGTGACGGCATTGTGCGAAGCTCAACGTTTTCGTGTCCTAAAAAGTTGAAACCTTTGCATGGGTGTGCTGTCGGATCCCTTCTCAAGTTGGCTTCACTATATTCAGCTGATGTCGCCGCCGCCGCCGCCGCCCTGATTATCTTCGACGTTGAAAAGGGAAAGGCCAAGATCAGCAGAAAACGGGAATTTTGATCTTGACCGACTCCCACATATCCGGATACTAAGCAACAGAGATTTCGAAAGCAACGGGCCTCCAACTAACCTGAAGGATCGCCCTACGAGTAGTGGCCCGGTAGTGGAAGAGGAACCGGTTCAGGTAGTGGATGCCCTTCATGTTGAACTTGGGGACGATGTGCACCACCCGGAGGATGTTGGCGGTGTCGACCAGCTTGAGCTCGCACTCGGGCCTGTCCCCCCGCAGCACAGCACAGCTGCTTGCACTTAGTTGGTGACGTCACGGCTGCCCAACTCCTTGTAGTAGCGCATGAGCGCCACCTCGCGGCGCGTCCGGGCCCTCGTCTCCGGGTTCACAGCCCAGAAGCTGAGGAACATCCGCACGCGGGCGTACAGGTCGACCGGCGGCTGACCCGGGTCCTCGCCTTGCACGGCCACGTTGCTGAACCACGGGCGCTTGTGGAAGTCCTTTGTTGCGCGTGCGTACATCGGCCGGTTGCCGAAGCGCTTGCTGTCGCCAACGGGCAGGCTGAGCGCTGTATGTACAGTTACCTGACCACAAGATTGTCAAGGAGAAGTTGAGGAAGGTGTCAATCTAGGGCGAGACTTATAAGCGCGAGCGAGTTGCGCAGTGCGACATGTATAAGTTTGCTTTTGAAAGGTTTCCATGGGCAAATCAACCACTTTTTTCCTCAGAGCAACATTACAATGAAATGCCAGAGTCTAGCGGGTCAAGTCTCTAACAGTACGAGCCAGAACTCTACTCTACCGAGGAAGAAAGTTCACAGTGACGTGCAGGCACAATCAAAACGCAACGTCTTCTGGCAAATGTGGCGCCTTCGAAAGGAGAAACAGATTGAGCAGATTATTTCCGGGATTTGACTTACATATCGAATACACAGAAACTTGAAAGCACAATGCAGGCCCTGGCAGGAAGTAACTCGAGGGCCGCACATTACTAGCGGACAAATCAAGTAACTCTTTGCAAATGTGGCATCTAACGCTCAGCCGGTAGAAGCAATCTTACACTAAGAATCCGAACAGCTTTCAGCCACACTTACCACGACCTTCTTGATGTTATCGTAGTCCTTTGCCAGTTGCTTTTTTAGGACCAACGCCAACCTCCGCACCTTGTTCGCTTGATCGGCTAACAACTGTGATGCGTACTTGAAAGGGATTTGCGGATGCTCGTTGGGATCTTGAGGCGACGCAACCTGCTCCAACCAAGCCTGAGGTTGAGCTTGCCAGCGGATAGGGAGTTTGTACCAGTCCGGATCGCATGCACAAAACAAAGCTACATTCGGACAAGCGCACAACATCTTGTGCTGAAAGTACGATGACTGGACTTGCTCTGTACCTTTTACAGCTCTTGAAGGAGACAAAAACGGGATGAGCATGAGGCAAATGCCTAAGCAAACCGGAGCGCCAAAACAGCGAATACGTCAAGGCCGCGCAGACCAAATGACAGAGTCGATCTCTAGCAGCTTCAGGGTATTCTTGAACTCAGCCGGGAGGTCTCAAAGTCGAGCGCGCTCTGGCTCCTCATCAGCAGGCAAGAAAGTATCGAAGGCAGCAAAGCTCTTGTGCATATTGTTGGCAGCATTGTCATTGGCAACATCACCTCTGCATCATTACAGAAAGTCATTTGCAGCATTGTCCCCTGGGGGCTGGCTTGCTAGATCAACTGCATTCCCTGGATAGCGGCTCTACTCTTGGCAGATCAACTCTAGCACGCTTGTCCGCAACATTGTCCATGTTGACACTAGAAGCTGGATTTTCATCGAGCTCTTGCTGCGTGGACGCCTTGCGCTTAGGTTGGGTTGAGCATCGACGAGTGAGCTTACCGGGGCATTTGCTGCTGCGGTGGGATCCCAGAGCTTGCCGGTTCGCAAAGACTGGTGCTGCGCAGTCAGGACGCGACAGGATCATCTTGGGGCAGCTTCTGTGATACTTATTACAAATGGAACCAATCAACAATACTTTGAGTGCACCTCATGCCGCTGCCATTCCAACAGGCAGCCAAAGAAATGTCTTATGTGCCAAATAACGAGAAGTTCTCACTGGTTCTTCTTCCATGACTCTGAGAACGCCGCCTGCTTGAAGTGGAAGCTGAATTGTTGGCGCCTCTCTGCAATGCGCTGAGCTTGTTGGATAGACACGGCCTCAACCCCATGTACTCAATTATTGCACATCCGGTCAAACCTGGCCCGCTTGACCCGAGTCCGATTTGAGCCGATCGCAGAACTTTGCCCGATGTGCAAAACTTGGACCCTCGGATGCTAGGACGAAATTCATCGAACGGCCCAGGTTCTGCGCTTTCGGCCAAGTTCTGCGAAACAATGTTCGTGGCGAAACTAATTATTTTCGCCAATTTGAATTTCGCCAGATTTTCGCCATTTAGTGTCTGGGAAGGGGATTTCGCCGGCCTGGCGAAAATGGTCAGGCCGTCAGCCAGTTTTTACATGCTCGAGTGTTCCCACCGGCTTTGAAGAATCTTAACCCTGCTCCGAACCCCGTGTTTTACCCCTGCTTGTACTTTGTCAAATAACTCTTCTGAGAAAACGAAGAAAATCAGGTCGGTAGAGCAAATTCTGGGGCCGGGATACCCTACCGGCCACAACCGCCACTGGGATTTTCGCCATTAGTGTCATTTTCGCCAATTAATAGTGTCTGGGAGGTCCTATTTAGTGTATTTGAGGATTTATTTTCGCCACGATCACTGGGCTGAAAGCAGAGTCGGGTCAGGCGGCCAGGTTTGACCGAACCTAGTCCGATTTGAGCCGATCCGATCGCAGAACTTTGCCCGATGTGCAAAACTTGGACCCTCGGATGCTAGGATAAAATTCATCGAACGGCCCAGGTTCTGCGCTTTCGGCCAAGTTCTGCGATGGGCTGAAAGCAG